TATTCAAAGAAGAAGAAAGTAGTCCATGACTCGTATCTCTAAAGGATATTTATCCCCACCGACGATCATACCAAAACAACATCCCATAAACTTGTATTTTCCCTCAAACCTCACAGGAAGAATAAATATTGCAAACAACACATACAAAATTATATCAAACCCATACTCCCCTAAGATACATTCGATTTCTACTTACGTAAACCCACTCTTCCTAAACCACTATAATTTCATACCATAAGCATATCACCTGAACTCCTTGAATTAGCAGAAAAGCACCCATCAAAATTCCCTTCAGGCCATATCCTTAGAACCCATCCATCTAAAACATCTCCCAATTTTGTCTCGTGAATTAGCCCCATGTCCACCTGTTGATTAATCACAATTTTCTTCAACCCTTCACACTTTGCTAAGCTACCCAATCCACTAATATTCCACGTGGGGATTCTCATTTTGTACTCTTAACAAAAAAATTTTTACCACACCCAAATTACTTGTACATACGACTGAATAATACCTCAACCAGAATAAAAAAAAATACCTGACAACTTAGACCGATCAGATCTTCATAGATTCCAGGTCCATCAGCTTTTGAATCAGTTCATCATCATCACAACTAGCATACATGCCCAATTTCTTTCCAATTTCCCATGTTTGTTTTGCTTCCTCCATGCACAACGACCTTCTTCTATTACGAAAATCCGCATATGACAAAAAGGCATTCACGATCACATCGTCATTGTTCTTTTTAAGGCCGGATCTCAGACTCTTTTTGGTTTTCTGCCTCCGTTTGTGCCTACCAATAGGTATCTTTTCTTGAAGCACCTCATCAATATCCTCTAATCTCCTCACTTTTCTTTCCCCCTTTTTTTTTTTTTTTTTTTTCTTTTCCTTGATATTAGACGATCTCCTAAATTAGTGTTGCAATCTGCCTCCAATCCACCATGTTCAACTACATTACTCATACCTTCATTTATCCCTCACCAACAGGCCCATCACCAAGGCAATCAGTTTCGATCTGGCCGGACTTGGTATTGTGACATAACGCTTTACACCTATCTCAATCAAGCCCCAAATAATCATTGCCTTCATCTTTGTGGGCTGCCTGTTCCTCCCCTAGCCCAACATAGGTAATGGGTGTGTCTCTTTCAATTTTAAAGTCCTAACCCGACACCTTTTTTAATGAATTTACAGATTCCCACTCCTCCAGACGGTCCCCACCAAGAGATTTAACTCTTTCACTAATCTTTTCAACATTCCCCACCTTGAGCACACCATCTCTATTCTCTAGGCCCACACATGCTTCCTTGAACTCAACAACCACTCTTCCAATTGTATCATCAATGCCATCATTCCTAACCAAGCCATCCATGGCACTTAGGGATTGCTCATCTTCCAAACGAACACTATCTCCAGAAAAATCACAAGATCCGTACTCCACAATATTAACAGCTTCATTAATATTCTTATTATTGTTAAATTTCTTGCAGCAGCTATGAAACAAGGAAACAAGATCCTCGCCAACTTCGGTCACCCTAACTTAGAAGGGCTTTCCGTTGCAATAAACAACTATAGTTTCATCCATCAACTTTAATTGATCCGTCATTATCATCATAGCCCCCTACTAAAATCCTGAAACTTAAAGAGTTTTATCATCCAAACTCACTAACCCTCCCTAGATATTTGCAATATTCTTAGACGTATCATAATTCCATGCATGTAAAGGAATACGAAAACAAGTAACCCAAGCAACTCTTTATTTCAATTGTATCTTGCCTGACCATTCTTTAATCTCCACTAACCATTCTTTGAGCCACAACCAGCCCAAACTTTTCATGGCAGCCTTTGTTTCCAGATCTTCAAATTCAATAAGAAATTGCCCACCTGATATCTTCTTTACTGAAATCTCAAACACCCCATTCATCCTAGAATTCTCCATTAACCTATATGTTTCATAATATCCCCTTGCCGCTCCAACCAAGCAGTTCTCTAACCAACCTTTGAATCACCTCATCCTCCACACTAACGTTGCATGATACGTATAAGATTTCTTTCACAACTACCATTAGCTTTTCCATCATGTGCCATACCTGTCTCTCTGTCTCTATCTGATTCTTGCAAAGTGGTATTGTTGTTCACAAGCGCCTATAGGTATGTCTTTTGACCGCCCTTCGCATTGCCTCCCTCATCCAACTTCTTGTTGTTTATCCCGTTTACCTCACAGACCTGGATGCTATTTGTCACCACTGTATCTGACGATTTTGAAGTCCGACACGGTATGCCTTGATTTCCATTTCTTCCAACTTTTCTCCAATACTTTGTCCTATCATTAAACCTTGCCATATTCACTCCAATACAGCAATCAAGCAACCAGGTCCTATCAAGTCTACTGATAGCTTTCATTGCTCCCTCTTTATCTGCAAAACGTATAAAGCCAAAATTTTCCCCTTCCGACTTCTCTTTAGAAGGATAAACACAACACCATTGACCACGAGACCTTGATGTTGAAAAATACTCTATAGCCATCTCCGGTTAATTCTTGATGGGTTATCATTGACAAAGACTATCGAAACCTCTTTATATCCATCTCCTATTTAAACCTCTCAGTAGTACATATCAATACGAGAATAAGTGTATACAAAAATTAGACATTACCTACAGAATTTACCTACAGAATAAGCAACATATATTCTATCAAAGTTAGGACAACAATAGAACATACAAGGTATAGAAACCTAATAGAGAGTGTATCAACACCATATGAAAAATTCAAGAGACGTGTAGTTAACAACAGTTCCATCATTCACAAAAACATGTAAACTAATTAAACCCGAAAGTCTAAATTACTGGAGATCCCAATTAAACACCGGTCAAAAAGAGTCTGACCTACTTTCCTCATCATGCTGGTTTTCTTTTTCATTTCCTTAAGTTTTCTAATTACAAAATCTTCCTTTGGACGGAAAAGCTCACGTTTTTTCTCAATTCTCAAGTTTTGATAGTTTCATCATACAGAGCATTTATATAAAAGATTAAATAAAATAAAATAAGATTCTAAATATAACACCATTTTTGTAGTGAATGAGATAGAAGATTTTTGGGCGAGGGTTAGACGAAGTGTTTTTAAAGACACAGTCTGGATAGACTTAAAACATAAGAGAAAAATTGTTTGTGTAATAATAATAATAATAATAATAATAATAATAATAATAATAATATAAATTCATTTGGTTGAGAATATGGAAGAGGTAAAGGAAGAATGGGTACTATTTTTTAATGTCAATTGTAGGTGGCATGGGGAAGCTAAGGAATTAAAGAAGAACGTGCTTTCCATTAATAGCATAAAATTTCTCATGATATTTGGTTTTGTTCAGTAAACTGTTGAACGGCGGATCTATAATTTTTTTTTTCTGAAGGTGTTCATTTATGATACATATAAAATTTTGTTGTCAAATTTATTAATTTTATAGATGAAAGCGTGTTCAGTAAAAAAATTTCCTTCAAAAATTTTTTTAATTTTCAAAATTTGAGAGCTTCCATGGACACATTAGATGAAAGAGTGGATCCGTCCCTGAATCGAAGGAGTTTCTTGGGAAAGTTAATAAAGGAAACAAAAAAAGATAAGAATATACCTAATAATGGATCTGTTGTTCTAGGTGCACAACAAAACTTGTGTTCTAGTCATTAGATAAAAAGCAATTTTCCTCCAAAATATCCGAATATTTGTTTCAATAAAGTTGAGTTCGAAACTCCATTGTGGAAATAAAAGAAAAAAGAAATAAATATTATGCACACCAAAAAACTTTAGAACCCAATGGTCAGGTAGGAGATTGTTTAGGAAATTATTGCTAAGACATTGGGTTTGTCACATGGAGTTATGGAAAAGAGCTATAAACACTCGCCTAATATGCTTAAGTCATGTTTAATGCATGGAATAATAGATAGGATATGACGATAATCATTTTATATTATGTTTGTTTTATATTTAAAGAAAATGATAAGATTACAAGGAAGATTCAATCTCCTCCCAAATGAAAAGGATTATTTTTAATTCATATGATTAAATTTATATGTCCTATTATATCCTTAAAAATGATATTAATAATTTAAATTGTATAAATTTTGAGGAAGGAATATTTTGATCAATAAATAAATTATTCTATCATAATCCTTGCACATATCAAATACAAGATAGGATGACATTATTTAATCTAATCCTATTTATAATTTCATCTTATATTCTATCATATTATAATTATGCACACCAAACACATCCTTATTTTACATAATCATATAATATATAAGTTTTCAAAATTTTATCATAGCTTATAAAAATTTTAGTACTTTTCAGTTAAGTCTCTAAAATAAAAAGTGAGTGTGTGAAATGAGTGTATTAAATAAGTGCATGGAATACTGTTCGTTTCACAGACAATTAATTGAAAGAATAGGTTGTGTGATACTTTGGTATTACTAAAGTGGTTTGGGTGTATATGATGCATATGATAATATGGATAATATATATAGTACAAGAGATGATTGATGTGTAAATTGTCTCTGTTTTATCTAAATGCATGCTTGACCAAAACGTTTTGTAGAAGCATGTAAGGTAACAAGGCATGTAAAACTTAAACATTTTTTGAGTTTTGGGTAGAAAAACTATATAATATTGATCTATTAAATGAATTAATGCAAATTATTAAGAATAAGAGAATTTGTAGAATTAAACTGCCATAAAATTTTGAAATGAGGAAGGCATTTTCTTCTGCTATAATTTCTTGGGAAATGGTGGTATGACAAAGATCTTAGGCAATACCATGTTGAACTTGTTAATAAATCAACAGTTATACAATTGTTTTCAAAATAACTTCTTGTATTTAGAGAAACATCTTACGTTTGAAAATGAAATATAATTTATCCAAAATACCAGTGCAAAGAATGAATAGCATTGAAACAAGTAGCAATGATGAATCAACGGGATCTAAAATTAGGATAAAACGTTCATAGCACAAAGTGGAACAAATTAAGTTATTTAAGATGAAATAAAAATGCAAAGAGAACCGTCTTTCAATCCCAAAAACACATAAAATGTTCATAGCACAAAGTGGAACAAATTAAGTTATTTAAGATGAAATAAAAATGCAAAGAGAACCGTCTTTCAATCCCAAAAACACACCAATTTAGTTCTTGATAGATAGATAAACACACCAATACAAAAACCCTAAGTAGTTGAAGCTGCTTGGTCTTCACTTCTTTTATTCAATTGAAGCTGCTTGATAAATAAGAACCTTGGAAAATTGAATCCCATCAGAAAAAAATTCAATAACAAACTGATTGTAAACTGATAAAGTTTAGGGCAAAACCAACCAGATATATCAAATGTTCAAAAGCCTTTGTTATCTTCAGCATCCCAAGCAGCAACCTTATCAAGAATGTAAGCGTCGATCTCAGAGTTCAGCTCTTTCAACTGGCGATTGCTTTCCCTAATTTTGGCAAATATCACCGCAAACTCTTCCAGCCCCAGCTTGGCGATCTGGGTACGCAGTTTCTGCTTCTTTTTCTTATCCTTTTTCTTCTTATCATTAACTTGCTTTGGTTTGCCAACCTAGATAGAAATGAAAACAAAAAACGAAATAAAGCAAAGACCAAAAGAAGTGTATATTTAGAGCTTGAAAAGGCCAAGAATTTTCCAATAAATTTATTGAAACTATACCTCAAACTTGGGTTTCCTTGACCTGCGGTGTTTCTTTTGGGAAACTTCAGGTCCAGTTTCTTTTCTTGCAGCCATGAAATTCTTCATTTTTTCTCCGTCTCTGCTAATCAAAATTTAAAGAGAAAAAATATATTATTTTCTTGAAAGATTCCAAACTAGAAATTTTAGTACTATAAACTAAAATGCTTGCTGATAACGTCGATGGCATTTTTCGGATTATAAAAGAAATTAATATGAAAAAATTAAAAGAAAGAAAATAAGAGTGAAACTTACAAGTAATATGCAACAATCTAATAAACTCACACAGATAAGAATAACCTTAAAAATTTGCTGCTGGTTTAGCGATGCTGGCTGCGGTGAGGACTGAAAAGGGTGAACGACGGAGAGTTCGAAAGTTCGGATAACGTGTTCACTAAGAATGTTAATTTATACTTTTTTTTCTGTTCTTTTTAGTTTGCCTAACAAAAATGAAACCTTTTTCTCATAAAGATAAGGTGTGTTTGGACCATCAAAAAGTAATGATTTTGTAATGCAAGAATACAATTATAAAGCGAAAAATTGGTATAAAATTATTTAAATTTTACATTTTGTTATATAATTTTTATTTTGTTAATCCAATAAGAAATAAATTTCATTTTTTTATTTATGTAATCATGCACATATTGTCAAATTTTATGTAACTTAAAATATTTAATTTTTTATTTGGTAACGATAAAATCTCATTCATTTAATATGTATAATATGAACATTAGATTGATTTGAAATTTTACCTACATAATAAATAAAAAATTACTAAATTTAACTATTGATAATTTTTTAAAATATTAATTATACATAAAATTGTATAAATGTGTAAAATTTAGTAAAATTGTTTTTACAATATAAAATTGTTTTAAATTTATAATTTTTGAAACTAAATAAGATTTCTCTTGTACCCATATAAAATAAAGATGATGATAAGTTTTAAAAAGGCCTTTGACTTTTAAGTGAGGGTGAACATGTTAGCTTTTCTAATTTCACTTCCAATGACACTGCCGTTGAACCTGGAAATCGCACGACGGTGGCCGTCAAACAGACAATTCTTCGAACGTCTCGCACGATCGACTCGTCTATTATACAGCCATTGCGTGTGTTTTGATCATTTGATAGTAATGACGTATAGTAAATTATAGTGAATAATATAATTATTAAATATTAGATTAAAAGTTATATATAATAAAAATTTATAATTTTTTAATTTTTATAAACTTTATTTATTATAAAAATTATTAATAAATAATTAAATTTATTCAAAATATTTATTAATATATTAAATAATAAAATATATATTATATTAAATTATTAAAATTATTTTATGACTTTTAAATAAAAAATAAAAAAACTATAAGAATATTTTCAACATAATGATAAAAAATAAAAAATAAAAATAAAAAATCTCACTTATCGATCAACTAAAATAAATGAAAATTTGAAAAGTGATCAATTTTTAATCGCAAATCTTCTTTAGACGGAAACGAGAGTTGGGAGTGGCACTTTTTTATTTTTTTTATTACAACTGCACGGCCGTCTACTTTAATGTTCATAGTGTTGTGATGAGGCAAAAAGGGCCCATCTACTTCGGATAAGGATGATTATTAAATATGTAATTTCATTAACATGAACAAAAGTCATTGTGGTTTCTTTGAACGGAATTGTGCCTTGCTTGGTGTTGGTGCTGCGTCAACCTAATTGGGCCACGTTAATGAAATCACTTTCTTTTCTCAATTTGCCTAAACTGCTGTTTCTCACATCCTCAGTTATTGCAAGAACCCAACTCAGTTATGTCAGAATCTTCAAAAAACATAAAAACCAAATTCTTATTCCAGAAGTAATATAAATTATAAAAGGCAGATGAGAAATAGTAAACACATCTCTTTAATTAGCTCTTCTGTAGATACTTTTATGGGATCTCCACCAAGTCTATCCATCTTTAAACTCTTCCCGGAGCTAATTTTCAGTTCTTTTTTCTTTTTTTCTTTTTTTTACGACGATAAAATGGCTCATATCTACTTTTTCTCGCTTAGTGGTGAACGGTTGAAATTGTTGGTTAGTATAAGCATGACTTTAGAGCTTGATTTTGAAAACAAAAAAAATCAAATTATTATAGTACAAAAATGGATGATAAAGTTCATGAAACTTGAGTCTTAATTTTTTTAAAATTTTATTGACACCATTACATTTAATAAATAGAAGTTATAATTATAATTAAATAATATATTTATTAAATTTAAAATTTAATTCAATTAGTTCATATAACTACTTTTAAAAAATGATATGCAATAAATATTGAATTAAAATTCCAATACCCCCAACCGCTTCTGCTATGCTCAGGTTATAGTCTTTTTTGTACAAAAAATAATACATTTATGAAAAATATTGATAAACAAACCGATGAAACAAACAAAATAATATAATGTTGGACAGTTTTAAGGGTGCAGTATCTCACTTTGGTCTAACGCATTCAAGATTATTTTTTGTGAGTGCCTCACACAAATATCAAACATGATTGACAAAATTTCTTAATTATTTGTTAGATCTATATTAATTGCTAGATTAAAAATACCTTAACGATTTAGGAAATGTCTAATCATATGCTTTATAGTCTCTAAAATACACAAGTGTGTTGTATTTTAACTAGTTTTCAGGATAATGTGTAACTTCACGGCGACAAACCAAATCCAAATACATGTCATCAAATTTGAGTTATTTGAAGAAAAGTGATTAATCGTAGAAGGAGACTGATACATTAATTTCACATATCCAAGATAACTAACAGTACTTCACGTAAACTAAACAATACTTGATTACAACCATAGACCAAAATGTGCTATTTCCCATTCAACATTTCATTGATATTTAAATAACAAAGCTGGGTGTCCTACTGAGTTCCATGTTGTCGCATCATGGAGATTTTGGATTTAATTTCTTGAGATTTTTGTTGCACTTCTCTTTGCCCTTCTCTGAGGCTTTTTTGTACCTCACAAATCACTGCCATCTCTGCTTTCAATTCTCTCATACTTATCTTTCTTTTGCCTTTCCTCTTTCCTTCCTGGGCATCCAAATTTAACATTATAATATCACATCATAACATTAACAAAGAAAAAGAAAGCAAATATGAATTGGGTTTGCCATCATATACCATTTGCTTTGTCTTTTCCGGAGTGGTTGTGCTCTGTTCCTCCATTTTTTCTGCCTTTATTCTCAGCCCAAGAACTGCCACTGAATCTCTCGCAAGCTCTATCTATATATAAACACAAGTCAATATTCTTGTGGATGAGTCGTTGTCGAAAGGATCGCGCGAGTTTCTTTCCCTCTCATAAAAAGAAACCGGCTGAGTCGCGCGAGATATGATTTAATAGCCAGGTAGAAGAACGACTTATCTTCTGGCATCGTGCCCCATTTTCTTTAATCCGATGGGGATGCCTATTGACTTTTTCAATTCTACTTTTAATTTATTTAATATCCTACCTTTTTTTTTTTTTTCTTGTGTTCATATTATGTCCATTTTTTAAGAAAAAAATTCCTACAATTCTTTTTTTATAATAACTTTTAATATATTTTTTATAAAATAAATAAGCTTGTAAGTTTCTATGTACTATCTTTTTACCAAATTTGCAAGTTGATTTTTTTTTATAATTTTAAGAAAAATTATTTCATATATTATTAGTGAAAATTTAAAATTTTATTAATGGAATTGAAAATTTGTTACATATTTCTTTACGTTATATTAAAAAATACAAAATTAATATAAAAAAAAGTACACGTGATATTCTTTCAACCTTGCTAAATGAGTTTAAAATTTTCATTAATGAAGTATAAGAAATAACTTTTTCTAGAACCATGTCACAATTTTTTTAATATCAACTTTAACACTTTTTACTTTCTAATATTAAAAATTCTAGTTTTCAAACTATAACTAAAAAGGTTTTTGCAAATAATATAAAATAGATAATTCAGTTAATATATGTTTATATTTAACATATAATATCAACAATTGAGTTAGTATTGTAAGTTAGTAGATCTTAAAATAGATAATTCAATAAATATACATAAAATTATAAAATAAATAAAATAAAATATATTATTCTTTTCATTTGAAATTGAATTTTTTTATGTTTTTGTTGACTAATTATTTGAATCATAACTTTTTATAATATTATTTAGAATTAAAATATTTTGAAGATTTTGATTTTAAAAATTTTAAAAACCTAATTTATTTTATAAGAAATTATCTAATCTATAGTCAATAAAATTTTAAAACTCTATAAGTAGGAGGTTAGTAGGATGACATATACCTCTTGACGTATATTAAAATATAAAAAATCAATTAAAAATAATTTATATTTGATTTACTGTATTCTATACACTATTAGTGAATCAAATGATGTTATTTTATTAATACGCAAATATTAACTCTTAAAATAAATATTCAAAAAATTAAATATAACATCATCTAATTCACCTCATTAATGAGATGATATTATTCAATTTACTAATAGTATATAAAATTTATACACTGACAGTTCATCAAATATAAACTCTTAAAAAAATAAACATATAGTACATCAAATATAAACTCTTATTTTATTGCACTTAATTTTTTATTTGAAATTCATATTTACATTTAAAAGAAATTACTAGGCTAAAGGGTTAAAAATACACTTAAACTATAATTTAATAACCATTTAAACTCTCAACATTATATTGTAATCAATCAAACCATTAATTTTTTATTTTAACTCAATTGAACACTTAAATAGACGAAATCTAGTCATGTAACAAAATATAATTAGTTAATCTCCAAACTATATTCAATTGAATCATTAGAGAGATCTTAGAAAGAGGAATAAAGAAAAAAGTAAAAAAGTAAAAAATATATTTTTTTTATTTCATTTTATTTTCACATATATTAATTGCGTCACATGATAAATTTTCATATATTTTTATTGATGTCACATAATTTTATATTAGTTGGCAAAAAAATTAATGATGTTCATTTTTCATCCAAATAAAAACTTAATTAAATACAAATAAATATTTAAAAAATTAAGTGATAGTAATTTAAAAATTGGACGATTTTTCTAATTATAATTCAAAGCATTTTTAAACACTTTAATCAAATTACTAATTAGAAGCTGTACTCTTCCATTCCCCACAAGTGCTAGAAAAGTTACCTTCCATCTAGTCATGTTGACGCGAGTGAGTTAAAATAAAACGCCAAGTTGCATGTCGTACGATCATTTAACATTTGGTCCCCATTTACGGGGCTAGTCGCGCTATCACTTTACGATTGGTCGATCATAAAACGCCAAGTTTTCGTCGTTCAATCAGTTTCCACTCCCCTTTGACTCTTGGTTTTAACCAACCATTTTTTGTTGCCCAATGCTTCATAAAACACCGTTTATATCTCGACTTTTTTTTTTTCAGAAAAAAAGAAAAGAATGATTGGTTAATCAATGGATAACTCCGGAAAACCAAATATTTATGGAAGTTGTGCAGGTGAAGACGCCGGAGAAGACATCCTTCAGAGCCTTCACGACGGCGGCTGTAAATCATGTAAGTGTTATCTGTGAATCTTATCTTATGCTTTGTTCAAGTTTTTGTTGTGGTTTACATCTTCTTAAGCTAAAGGGTAACCAATAAATATTCAAGCTTCAATGACTAATTTTAAATTTTAAATTCTTTTAATTTTATTGATTTCTTTTTGGCAAATAAAATTTTCAGACAAATAGGTTGCTCCAACCCCTAATATCCAAAAATCATTTTCTTGAAAATTTAAGTAATAAATGTTTAAAATCAAACTTCTAGAAAGCTTAATTAGTTAGAAATTTTCAAAATTCCTCTGATAAAAAAGAAATTTTCAATTGAAAAATTTTTTAGCTTGTATAATGTGACTAATTAGTTAATTGAAATTTATAATTACTTAAGTAGCGTTTAGTATCTTTTGCAAGATCAACATGGTAATATAATTATCAGGATGATCTTATTACCAAGGTAATTTTAACACTTATGATTTAAAATTACTTTATTTAGTTAACAATAATTAATTCTTAAAAATTAAAGATCATTGTATTTAATATTATTAAAAATTAAACATTATTTTATTTAAAAATACGAAAATAACCATGTACATTGTAATAGTTATATAAATTAATAATTTTATGGTTGTTTAACAGTAATAATTTTTAAAATACTAATAATATTTATTTTATTTATAATAAAATACAATTATATTATTAAAGTAATAAATATATTTATTGATATTTGTAATATAAATTATGAAAAAAAATTAAATAAGAAAATAAATTCAATATGTTAAATTCATAATAAAGAAAAATAAAAAATTATATTATATATAAAATATTTAAAAAATATATACGAATTATTTTGAACTTGTTATAATGAATATTAGTTTAAAAATATAAAAATTTATAATATAAAATAATTACAATTTTAAGATGCAACAAGCTTTTAATTCACCTATTAAATGAGAAAAATTGATTATTGTTAATTTTATATATCACTTTATATTGGTGATAAAAGTTTCCCATCCTTTTGAATGAAAATTAAATAATATTTAAAAACAGTGATTTGATTACTCTTGATGATCCAAAATCACTATTATGTAAGATCACCAAGTACTTATTAAATACAGTGATCCAATTACTATGTGCAACTCAATATATTTTTAAAGTGATCACCCAATACCAAATACTACCATAGAAAATTGAAAGCTTTTTGCATATAAAATTTATTAAAATGTCTTGAAAATTGTGTAGGGTATGAATACATACAACATATATATATTATAATTTTAATAATTTGTTAGATGAAAAAGGATATAATGTTAAAGTTTATTACAAAATTATTCTGTCCTAGTTTTAATTAATTGTAAATTGTCCTTCAAGATTTTATCTTAACGTTCTTATAACTTTTAATAGTGAAAATTGAAATGCTTTTATCTCAAATGTTAATTTCCCTAGATCAAGGTAGTGCAAAAATTCTACTACAACACCTTGATCAAGGTCAATTTAATCAAATTGATGTCTCAAAATTGACTGGAAAACATTATCATCAGCCTGCATTAGTAAGCAGTGGAGAGGTACACCATATGGCTATAGAAGAATGCTTATCAACGGAAGCTTCAATTGTGTTTGATGATTACCTAAGAAAAGCCGAAAATAAAAGAAAAATAGATAAAGCATATAGAGAAAGATGCAAGGTAAATACTACCCCTTGTTTTCGTTATTTCCTTTCCATTGATTGATTTTTTTTTTTTTTTTTATCATCATTCTCCCTTTTCTTCCTAGCAAATATTGCATAGTCTATTACTAGGTTTAATACTCACTAGTACTACTTTTGTCTTTGACCTTTCTGTCTAATATTTTACAGATGAAAAAACTACAAATGGAACAAGACATGGTGACTTTTGTCGAAGAAAATAAGCGTTTAAAGATAGAGAATGAATCTTTGAAGGAGAAGAATGCTTCTATGAATCAAATTTTGCAATCTCGAAGGAAAGAGCTGAACGAGGTTAAAAATATTGTTGAGAACTTAAAATTTGAGAATAAGAAGCAAAATGCACTTGCACAAATATTGTCAGACCTTCTAGTGAGTTTTTTTCTCTCTCTCTCTCTCAAGACCCACGCGCACGGGCATATACAAGACGCATGATAGGGGTGTAAATGATACATTAGTACTCGCAAGTTATTCGGGTTCTATTCGAAAAAAACTCGAATTCGGTTCGATTATTGTCGAGTGGAGCTCGAGTAGTTCGACTTATCGATCGAGCCGAATTCGAATATTCTTATATTTGACTCGAGTAGCTCGCGAGCCTAATCGAGCTTTTATATTTAAATATATTTTTATTATTTTAATTAATAAAATATTTTGAATCCGAGTTCGAGTTCGAATTCGAGTATGAATAATCGAACTCTTGTCGAATATGCGAATCGAGCTTATTTTAACATATTAATCGAGCTTAATCGAACGAGCTCGAGTAACTCGAATTCGATCACGAATCGAGCTCAAACTTGAAAAATAAAACTCGATCGAGCTCGAGCCGAGTATCGAGCCCCGAGTTGTGAGTCGAGCTCGAGTTCGAGCTTCTCACTATTCGGCTCGACTCGTTTACACCCCTAATGCATGAGATTAGATTTTTTTTTTGTTAATTTTATTCTAATATATATTCATAATTGTTATTTACTATTATGATAGAAATAAATCATTCTTCAATTATGAAACCAATTCAATATAATTATAACTCTTCTATATCTAAAGATGAATCTTCGTATTAATTAATAATTTTAGTTAAAAATAACAATTATTTTAAAAAATGTGTATTTTCATTAATAAAAAACTTTACACAATCAGTTATTTACTCACTATTATATGTTTAAAATAATAAATATTTGGCATAAGTATAAAAAAAGCCCATGAATAAAATTAAATAATCATTCAAACTCCTTTTATTTTATTATAATCAATTAAGTTCTCAAAATCTATTTTTACCAATTGAACCATTCTTAGACGAATATTTGTTAACCATCAACACACATTTTTATCCAATCGATGCTTTAATTGAATGAAAATAGATGATTAAAAATTTAACTAATCTAAAATAAAAAATTCAAAACTTGATTAATTGTACTAAAATGTAAAGACTTAAATGATTATTGAATTTTTATTCGAAGATTTAGCTAAAATATTTTGAGATATATATTATATTACTTATTATTGTTGATAGGTAATTGATTTGCAAGATCTTATGGTTTTGTTTAGTAGAGGTTGGGGGTAATTAATTGGTAACTATTAATTAGTATCTAATTATTTCTAAATATTTATTTAATTTGTTGTATTTGAATGTTGAAACTTTAGATAGTTTCTCTTCTTAGATTAATTTTTGGTTAAATATTGCATATCGTTGAAGTTAGTTTAAATTTTTAATAGTTAATGTTAGACATCAAAATTTAATAAATAAAGTTTTAATTGTTACATATCAACATTAAAAAGAAGTAATATATATATATATATATTATATCCCTGCTCCTTTTTGGCATGGAATTTTAGGGAGTGGGGAGAAGATAGGAGTGTAATTGAACATAATACATTACTAGTCTCAAATTCAACTAGACTTAAAACCTCAAGTTTCAAAATCAGTCTCAAGTTCTCTCTCTCTCTCTCTCTCTATATATATATATATATATATATTATATCCCTACTCCTTTTTAGTATGTGTTTTTAGAGAGCAGAGAGAGGATTGGAGTATAATTGAACCAAATACATTACCAGTAAGTCAGACTCAAGTTCAATATACAAATATATATATTAATTATATCCCTACTCCTTTTTGGTACGGGATTTTAGGGAGCAAAAAGAGGATAAGAGTGTAATTGAACCAAATACATTACCAGTCTCAAACTTTGCTTGACTTAAAAACTCAAGGTTCAAAGTCAAACTTAAATTTAATCGAATTTTATTTTTCATACTTAAACTCAATTCATAATTTAATGGAGTTGTTTGAGTTTGGCTCGATAAGTTTGATAGAATTGTAGATATTAATATTAAATACTATATTTTATTATTTATTTATATATACATATATATTTAATATATTAAAAAAAGGTTTGATCAAGCTTGCAAGCCACTTGAATGAGGTATTAAACTACCCAAACTTAGCTCGAGTCATTACTAGTAGCTTAAGTTCAAACTCAATTTTTTTTTTTAGTCGAATCCAAATAACTTATGAGTAATTTGACTCCTTTATACTCCTAAGAAAGGTGGTGTTTGGGAAAGAGTAGTTGGTGGGGAAGTGAATTGACATTTCTAAAAAGCTAAAGCCATGGGACAATGCAAGGGTTGAAAGGGAGAATGGTAAAAAGAGGAAAGTCATGTTAGGGTTTAATTTAAAATTGTCAATAAATTATATAATTATTTTTTATTAAAAAATTAATTTTAAAATTTTAAAATCCTAAAAATTTAGTAAATTTAATTTTAAAAATATATTTAAAATTAATTTTTATATGAAATGTCATTTTATGATTCATTGACAATATAATATATATATATATATATATATATATATATATATAGAATAAGGTATCAAATATGAACTTTTAATTTTATGCAAAATGTTATGCACAACATGCATGAAGGTGAAAAAACAAGGAAAAATTATAACATATATGTTGTGATTTAAATGGGTAGGATTAGGAATGGCGACAAGTCAGGTTAGGGTCAGTTTTTTCTCATCTCGAACCCGACCTGACTCTATCCATAATACCCAAAATCGACCCAACTCGATTAATTTTATTATCTTTTATATTAAAACCTGACTTGATCTGACAGTGTATAAAATCGTACCCAATCAAAAATTAATAAAATATTATTTTTAAAATATAAATATAAACTTAAATAAATATAAAAATTGATATAAATATATATAAATATAAAAATAAATAAATAATATATATTTATACCAGATTAGGTCGGGGTAAGTTTGTCTAAATTTCGATCCTCACTTTTTTCTTCTATTATCCAACTGGATTCGACCTAAAATTTGATTTTTAAAAAAATCAATCTTATAAGATTGAGTATAAGATTGAGTTGGGTCAAAATTCAATAGATTTAGACTGAACTATCATCCCTAAATAGGATAGTGCCTTTGAAGACCATTAGTAAACGATTCTTTAAATATGACATGTTGATGCTAATTTGGTCCAACAAGAATAGCCTATATAAGAATAAACTTTAGGCCCACATCGCATATGGCCTGGCCATTCTTTAGGCTTATTGACCTCATTATCAAACTTTTCTCTACAATTGATTAGTATTAGAATTATTATATTTTGATATCGGCTAACGAAGACTTTAAACTCCATAAGCAGAATAAAATTATTGTCATGTGTTTCTATTCATTATATTAATATTTTAATTTTTTTAAAAATATATGTTCGTTGATTGTGTATGAGATAATTTTAGTTAGTATAACTAAGTGATCATACACAAAAGTTCACATTAATAAAATATGGTGAATTTGAAGTACATATAAATGAAATAAAATTTCCTTCATGTTGATAATTTGTTTAATTAAAGTTTAATTTCTGTGGAGATTCGCACCCAAGTTATAAGGTATTATTCACTTTAATCCAAAAATCTCACATTTTTGTCCCATAAAAAATGGTTATAAGTTTGGATTTAAATATCTACTTGTATATCATAATAAAATTTCAGAAATTCTTGATATGAAATTGAGATGTTACAAACTCTCTCGATAAAGCTTTATATCCTATCAGGCCTAATACAAAGCACACACAAAATCACAGAACCAAGATCACACTAAAGTTGAGTTCTAGAGGTGGTTTTCACGGTATGCCACTAAGCTCTCGTCCGACTGGTAATATACTTCTGATATCATTTGTGGAGACCTACACTTAACCTGTGAAGTATTGTATGCTTTAATTTGAAGATCTCATAATTTTATTCCACAAAAAATACCTCACTAGTTTGGATTTAAGGTTTTGCTTATATATCATAGTAAATTTTCAAAATCTCTCGATATGAAGATTGAGGTGTAATAAATTCTATCTTAACATAATGTCAGAGTAGATATTGTTCATGTTGTTGTCATGGACTTCTTATGCTTACATACAAAATATTTACTATAGTATAAATATAATAATGACTAGTGATTTTAGGTTTGATATCCACCCTCAAAATTCAATAATTAGATTAAGGTACATACTTAGTAGTGTAAATGATCATAAAATCTACAAGTTTTTATTTTTATAATTGTCAATTATTCTAGAATGCCAAACGATACATATATATTGTTATATCTAAAATCTATACTTGTGAACCTTTCTTTTTTATCATTTCTCTCTTTTGTGATATGGAAATATATATGTGATTTATGATTGATTTCAAATTATAGATTTATTGATATTAAATTTGGAACCATCTACAGGTTAATCCTGATATGTGCCAAGAAAATCAGAAGCTTAAAGATGAAAATGCTCAGTTGACAGAAATGGTTAAATTGAGTGATGAGCAATTAAAGATTGTGAAGGAGAATGGAAAGTTACACCATGAGAATATGCTACTCAAAGTGCAGATAGATGCTTTATGCGGTAAGATAGTTCATCAAAATAGCAAAATTTGTGGCCATAAGTTACTGGGATAAGGGGGCATTGATAGATATTGTAAAAGGAAACTACACTGTTTCTCTCTCTTTCTCTTAAAAAACAAGGGTAATAGTAAGCAATTTATTTGCTAGTAATGAAGTTTGGATTTGGTTGATGCTTTTTATTATTTTCCCTTTAATGTTTAGTTTATTTTTTATTCAACTTTAAAAAACAAAAAATAAATTGTAAAATTATCAATCAAATAAATCTTAATATTTCTCTTAGTATTTTGTCTCCAATATTATCACATATTTAAAATTCAATTTTCTTTACATTCTTCTTTTAGGTGAAATTACATTTGATTTTAGTGTTACAAAGTTAATACGAGGCGAATAATTTCATCAAACAAAAATCTAAAATTGAAGAAAGATAAGAAAAAAAATAATTTTTTTAATTAAAAAGGAAAAGAAAATTTTAGTCATAGTTTTAGGGTTTTTTTCTTGTAAGAAACAATTTTATTATTTTTTTGGCTAATTAGAATAATATATATATATATATATATATATATAGTCAATTTTAAGATTTTTAGATTGATATGGTAGAATTTCGGCCTGATTGGGACTTTTAGATTGGCTTGGATCAATTTCCGTTGGGCCCGATCCTTCTTGGATTTTGTGTTGTTTGGATTTTCTTTGATTTCTTGGATTCCTTTAGCTTCTTGGGCATTTTAGGCTAGCCATTAAAATTTCTTAATATTCTTCTAAGAATATTAAAAAAATGGAATAATTAGAGAAGAACTCTTTTTTTATTTTACTTTGGGTTTTCAAAATGTTTCGAGGTGTTGGAAATGAGAAATGAGAAATAAGTGCTATTTAATTGAAGTAAGTTTACAATCCTATTAAAATAGAATAAGAAAATTCTAATACTATTAGACTAGTGGATTAAGATAGTCAAGCTTAAACACTCATGAATTTAGATCAAATCTCTACCTCTAGGTCTTTTTATAGTTTTTTTGTTCCTTTACCTTTTCTTATACTTAGAAAATCTTCAGCCTCGAAATTAAAATTTCTTTATGAGATAAACTATATTATAGAAGATAAAAAAAATCTAAAAAACATAATTTCTTTTTGTAAATCCTTATAATACCTTTTCTAAACATCTAACTTCTCTTGTTAAGCCCATAAAAACTCTTCTTAAACACAAACCTTAGACCCTAAAAAAGTATATTCAAGCCACAAAGTTTGACCAATATATACTTCTAACAAGAACCCAAAAGCATTTTGTTATTTTTTAGATTCTGTCAAAATTTTCACAGTAACGAATAACTCAAGGATACACTCACACTCATATTGGTGCTACCAAAATAACCTTAAGTTTTTCATGGACGTAAAGTTATTTTTGTTTGTATCATAATGGCCTTTCTAGACATAATATTTAAAGAATACAACATGCTATACTCGGAATGGTTGAGACAACTCTAAATTCAAGAACTATTTTTTTATAATCTTCCCAAATTACAACATGCCTCTCCATGATCTTACGATTCATGATGTTTTAAATGTTCAACTCTAGATTCTTGGTATACAAAAGATACAGAATGACACTCCATTACCATATAGCATATAGAATCTAGAATCATGCCATAAACTTATCAATGCCTAACTCTAGTGAAACTATTTTTTGTCAAGCTTGAAGTAGCAGACAAAGTCTCTAAATACATCCACATTGCAAAACAAATCCAATAGATGAACTTACTACTCTAATCCCTTAGTCATGGGTAACATGATATGAAAAATTTTGGAACAAGATGAATCTGTCTAAAATTTTGATTCCATTTACACCACAAACTGCACCATCAAATTTGACCATAGAAAAGAAATATCAACCCGTATAGATACCATATTTTATCCAGAGTTATTTTTCGAATTCTGAGTTAATTTTAATATATTGATTCATAATGATTTAAGTTTTAAGGTTTTAATTGGCCGATAGGTAGTCAACGTGGGTTTGGGCTTTGACCATTACACTAGACTCGGTTTTAGTCAAGAAACCCCATTTTCTTTTCTTTTTATGTGTTTTGCTTTTTAGTATTTTTATTAAATGATTATTTATTTTTGAAAAATTTTGGATAAGCAAGATAATTTATGAAGTTGTTGGATTAGAGTGGTATTTTTTTGAAGATATATTTCTGGGATTGATTTTCAAACATTAGTGCAAACTTTCTGAATTTCAATCCCATTTTAACTTGGTCTCTTATAATAATCGGAGTTTATGGCTTATAAAAAAAAATCAACAATGAAAATGAGGTGAGAGGATGGATACATAGAGAGAAGCAGTACAAAGCAATGAGCGAAAATTTTTTTGATTTTAGGTTCTCGGTTTTCCGTCTCTAAATCTACATGGTAAGGCTTAGTTAGAAAAGGGAAGTCCAGTGAGACACAAGCAGATGTATTCTCTAGCAGAGGTGAATTTTTAGGGTGATAGTTTTTTTTTTTTTTTGTTCTGGTCTTGGGAAACTTTCGGGACTAAGGGGGAGGCAAAATCGAGAGACATAAACCGAAGGCAGAAGCAGTTCCCAGCAACACAATAGCCACAAATCAGAGACAGAAGCACAAAAAACAACCATTCACAAATGACAAAAAAAAAAAAAAGAAGGTGGTTCTGGTGGTCCTGATCAGCTGGAAATCGGAGGTTCTGGTCTTGAAACTAAAGTCTTAGGTTGAGGGATTTTTGGGAGTTTAAATGCTTGAACAAAAAAGGATTGAATCGAGGGCCGTGAGTTCTGTGCTTAAACAATAAGAGTTGGTGAAACCGATGACGATAATAACAGCATTGTTGGTGAAGAGCTTGGAAGGCGGAGTTGTAAATTTTTCTTGTGGAGCGATGGGGTTTGTCTTTTTACAGAAAGGAGACACGAAAGAGAAATAGAAGCTTTGGGATCCTTTCGCTTTCTCTTTTACTAGTGGCCTAAAACGTAACATTTTTTATCAGGTAAGAAAGGCAAACAAAAATATCAACAGAAAGCAAGGAGGAGTGAGATAGCACTTGAAGACTCCACCCATGTTTTACACTTGGTACAGGCCTTCTTAAATGCATTCTATCAACCTAAACCAAATCTGAGTGGGTTTTTCAACCCAAATATTTGGTATTTATTTGTTTATTTAATGTTCTGTTGTTTTAATAGTTTATTTATTGATTTATTTTATTTATTTTATTGATTTGTTAATTTTATATTTTGTATACTGTTTTAGAGGATGTTTTCATTATTAGGTAATAATAATAGAAATATAATAAAAATCTAAAAATAAATCTAATCAACATATTAAAAGGTTTTATGTTTTATAAAAGAAAAAAAATGATATTTTAAATAAATAAACATTATAAATGTAAACATCCTATTTATTCAGAATTTTTCCGAGACAAAAGTGGGCTTCCACTATGAATTAGATTCAATTGGAAAGCTTCGGATCCAATAAAAAAATTTTTATTTTTATTTTAATTTCATTTAATTTTTTATTTTATTTATTTATCATTATTATTATTACTATTATTTAAAAAAAATCAAAAGGTTACAAAAAAGACAAAAAAAAGGAAAATATAAAAAAAACGGTATTGTTGTGAAAAAAAAAAGATGGTGATTTAGTCCCGGATTTGTTGGAGCATAATTCATGCAGAGAATCAATTCATGAAGAAATAAAATCATAATCATAGATTCTGCGGAAATTATGTTTTTTTTTTCCAAATTGGATAAATATGAATCCCTATAAAGGATTTGAGACAGCAATCAACAAGAGGCAATTCTTCTATACGGCAGTCACCAGATAGACACAATGCAGTAAATCCATGAAACAAACCTTCAAACCTTAGAAGCTTTGGTAGAAGCTTTGGTTCATCAATAAATTCAGGAAAGCTAAAAAACAAGTAGTCGGCACATACCCAGAAAACTCACACCAATTCCCAGAAATTAAACCTAAGTTCATACCCAGAAATTGAAAAACAAAAGAAACCCCCTAATCAATGCAGCCAAATGATGGCACGATTCACCAGTGAAAGGAGATAGGCAGCGTTTGAACTGCGTGATGCAAGCTGGACAGTTTCTGGATACCTTGCATATTGATTATGATCTGGTAGATTGAAGGGAGGGGACAAACACACAAAAAAGGGTAAGTATAGTGGAAGGAGGGGTTACGTTGCTGGTTCTGCAAAAACCAAGGAACACAAAGAAGAAGACAGGCTTCATTCATTTTATGGAAGTGCCGGTCTGACCTAATTTGAAAACCCACCCGTACGTAATTTGGGCTTGATAAATTTTGACCCAAGCCTTTTATTAACCAAGCCCAGTTTTGAGTCAACCAAGAACCAATTCCTTGGGCAATTCGTTTGCCCGAATTGGCGTTAAACCTGCAGCTTGTCTTGGATTTCCTTTTAAAGTTGAACCTAATTTATTTAGGTAATTTCGATGTTTTGTTTTATTTTGTTATATGCTTAATAGTTTATTTCAGTAAAGAGTGGATGATCTTTATGAGCTTAATTTTTCTTATACTATGAATTCTATCCAATTATTAGAAAATTTCATAATAATTTTTTTTTGAAAAAAATATATATTTAAAATTTTACTAAACTATTGGAAGATTTGAATTTTTAAATTAAGTCTTATCAAACTATTTGAGGATTTAATGAATGTAAAAAATTTTTTTTTTTTTAATCTTATCGAACTATTAAAAGATTTGTATCTTAAATTAAATCTTACCAAACTATTAAAAATTTTAGTACATTTTCTAAAAAATAAATTTACAAAAAAATTTCACCAAACTATTTAAAAAACTACATCAAAGTAAATCTTATCAAACTATTGAAAGATTTTACTAATTATTTTCTTGAATTAAATATATTAATGAATCCAACAACGAAACCTCTTCAAAATAGGACACTAATATCCATGAACACTCATAAGATGAGAGAATTATCTTAAATTGCTATTAAATTATTGAAATAATTTTAAGATCAATTTTTAATATTAAATATTATGGTAAATCATAAATATGATTAACACTTAGATAATTTAAAATTAAACTAATACTATTTTTTGGATAGTACCGTAAGAGTGCTATAACCTTCATCACGCATAACTACACTCTTAAATCTAAAATATGATTTTGTAGACTAAAATT